CGAAGGAGTTGACCTCGGCCACCTATTAAGGCTCAATCTTGGCGGTGGGCCAGTGCACGCCCACCGATCATCTGATCACTCGCCGCAGGTCTATACGTGGCGAGTGATTAGATAGGTGAGAGAGCGTAGTGTTGAAGAGGGCACAGCGATGATCGCATCAATGCTCAAATCAACGGGCAAGGAAGGGGTCCCATTTCTCGGGTTCTGGGCCGTTTCTCAGGTTTTTTCCTTTTTTTTAGCGTACCAGCCATCGCTAATTTGATTTGAATGGGTTGCCTTTCCAGCGTTAGTTTGTCGTTCAACTACTGCGCTACCAAAAGGATGGTTTTTTGTACCATATGACACGACAAAGCCCCACACATTTAGAACATGTCAAAATGGGTAGAATTTTGTCGCAGTTTTTCTTGATGCATGGGTCCTCCTCATTTACACACAAACTCTTCATCTGATACTCGGCCGCCACTGGATAACGAGTCGTCGAAATATAGATAATATAATGTTGATAGGGCGGAAGTGGTGTAGTGACAAGTGGCGCGCTCACCACGCGAGCGGTCCGGGGATCAAATCCTGGGTCGTGAGTCGCCCGGGCCAACCAAGCCTTCCATCCCTCCGGGGTCGGTTAATTGGTACCAGACTTGTCTGGGAGGATAAAAACACTGACTTGAACATCGGCTGGCCCCGCAAGTCATTGTATAGGCCACATCGCATTCAAACGCCACTGCGAATGTACAAATGGAAGTAGAATGCGTGCCGCATCCCAAAAAGGGATTGATCAACGGCAAATGCTTTATCCTTTATCGTATAATGTGATCTTCTATTACAACTGCTAATTTCGGTGTGTCGTTGTATGTAGGGTCTGCCGTGCCGCAAAATGACAGATGACGTGATAAGGTAGCAAATGCGAATAAACAAACCGCTACACGCGAAGCTGCTGCAGTGGCAGCAGGAGAGCAGTAGTGGGAGAAGGGGAGGATAAGGAGGGAGGAGGAACGCAAAGCTTACGCAGGGAAGGGATATATCGGCGGTTACCCGGGAAGCAATATGGTACTACATATAATAGGCATGGCATGCCGCTCAATGGAAGGCAAATTCTTTGTTTTGGGACATCACAGAATCGTAATCTTGTGGATACGATAAGCGTAATTCCGGTGGCTGCGATAAATAGTGTGGGCGGTTTTTTTCGAATTGACTTTTTTCCAATATCTATTGATTTCACACATCGCTACAAACGACTAACAAGGGAGGTCTTTCAGGGCAAGGTGATGCATGTTGTGAGGACGCATGTAAGGAACAAAACCATGTTTCGTTTTCGCTGAACGCTTATAGCAGTACCAAAAAACAGCCAGCCAACCTTGATTGCAAAATTTATTCGCCGCGGGGGATTGAACCATCAAGAGTATTATTCACCACTTTTTTTGGTACTACTACAGGGTGCGCCAAAATTACGGAGACAGCGATTTCGAGTCGCCTAGAATGAACACGCCACAATTCCAGGAAGCCAAAAATGCAGTAACGTTCACTGTTCAATAATGAATCGTAAACATCTGCCAAATCTCAGAAATTCCTTCGTTGGCACTTATACGGGCCTTGAGAAGCAGTGAGGAACCATCGGCGGTGGCACGCAAGGTAGTGCGTAGAATCCGTTCTACGTATTCTGAAGCAATTCTTCAAAATAATCCCCAAAAATGTAAAGTTCCGCAAGTTTCAGCTTGCAGAATCAATTCTACAGTGTAAGCCATTTATATAGAATCTGAAATGCTGACCAACTCGTTGAAAGTGATGAATTCGACAAAATTGGCTCTGACCCAGTTCAGCACCACCCTTGCCTTATGGAAATCCCTTCCTTATGAAAGATCAAACAATGTTTTTTAAATCTTAAGATGGCAATTTGCTTGGGAATTCTCAAGTAATCTCCTTAATGTCCATCTCTCGTGACATTCGGCGGAACGAGTGCGCGAAGTGCCACCAAATTCTGTTGCGCACCATGCTGACATTGCTCGTGGCCGTCTTGGAAACACGGCCTTCCCATCCAGAATGAGTGCATTCGCTTCCTTACTCCTCGGAGCGTTTATGGATCCATGATTGGTACCCAGATGAAAACCGAAACGCTGATAATTCTTGCGCGTGCTGAAAACTCTCAAAGTTGAAGTTCAGTGATCTAGAAATAGCGGCAGAATCATCAGCCATCGTAACAATCATACATATTGGTGGTCAAATAAGATAATTATGAACAGGTCAACACAACAAAACCAAAATGAGCGCAGCAGTAAACAGCATCTTTGAATAGTGGTTCCCAATAGTGCGCGGAAGTGCTGTCTCCGTAATTTTGGCGCACCCTGTATAACCGTTCAACGAAACATGGTTTTGCACTCCCTACATGCGTCCCTATAACTTGTACTAATCCGTTTCCAAAAAGCGCACCTTGCCCGAAAGAGCTCCCTTGTAAGTGAATTGTCCAAGCTACAAAAGACTCGCTCATCTTCGAAACATATATTGAAGTGACCGTGTTACATGCTTGAAAATTGGGAGCTCCACAAAACGAGGAGCACCCTAACCGGCCACCAACTCATACTCTATGTTCCTCTGAAAAAAAAAATCAGTAATGTACCAAACAGTTGGTCACGACCTCTTCTTATTATTCCCTCCAACCCTCCAACACCCTCAACCCCTCTGACATACTGGTGAGCCTTTCAAAAAGCCGTACCGTCTTTGAGATTCCACTTTGCAGACAGCGTTGCTCATCGTGGTAAGTTTTTAGACGAATTTCTTCCTTCGAAATTATAGGTTTTCACAATATTCCATACAACATGAGAAAAGCACTTCTTCAGCACTAATCGCGCTCACGTCTCGCTTTTCTTTCTTTAGCTTAATGAATTTTAAGCCCACATAGTAAAGTAGTTGCTTCGAAGAATTTTCCCCGAATAAATCTTCAAAAAAAACAATCAGTTTATTGTTTGATGTGTGTCCCGCCCGTGCTGAGGTATCAACTTACTCTGACAAGGGAGGTCTTTCAGGGCAAGGTGCGCTTTTTGGAAACGGTTTAGTACATGTTGTAGGGACGCATGTATGGACCACAAAACCATGTTTCGTTTTCGCTGAACGGTTTTAGTAGTACCAAAAAAGTGGTGAATAATACTCTTGATGGTTCAATCCCCGCGGCGACTAAATTTTGCAATCAAGGTTGGCGGCCACTTGTTGGCTTCAAAATGGTCCTGACGATGAATTTGACATCTGATTTTGATATTTAGCGCGATTTGGCACCAAACGAACCCTTAACAGTACCTTATGCTTCTTTTTTGGTACTGCTATAACCGTTCAGCGAAAATGAAACATGGTTTTGCGTTCCCTACATGCGTCCCTACAATATGCACAAAACCGTTTTGAAAAAGCGCACCTTGCCCTGAAAGACCTCCCTTGTAAGTGTTCCGCCAGTTTTGTCAATACTGTGTTGTAAACTTCCAAGTCTTAGAATCGACTAAGGAGTGGCGGATTAAACCCATGCAATTCTTGCTTGACCAAACAAACCGAAATTTTAGTAACGAATGGTCCATCTGTATTAGAAAGACGTGAAATGCAGCAGCTTGTGGACTAATTGGTAAGTACACGGTGATTGATTCTTCCAAAGGTACCTAGGGTTCAACTTGGAATGTCAGTATGGCTAACTTTGGTCTTCTGGAGATCTGACTCTTTTGCAAGCTAAGAATTCCATCACTCCATTAAATGCAGAAGGTAAGCACACCGTTTTGTAGAGCAAACAACTTTTTTCATATAACATGATGTGAAAAAGTGGGAATAGCGAGGAACGAGTTCCATCCGAAAAAAAAACGACCATGCTTATCGCAAGATCGAACACCGTTTACATATTGAATCGGACGGGTCTCTAAAAACGTTAAGGGCTCAAATCTCAGGCAGGATGATTGGATCCTCAAAAGGTGTTTCAATCGGATGTACGGAAGTTTCTATTTGATTGTATATGTACCTTTTTGCGAGGCTTATAGCATAAGGATAGCTGAGATCAGCTATATAGCCAAAGGATAGCTGGGCATCAGATATATACCGCACACAACCTGTCATCCTTCCGAGATAGACATTTGGCATCATTTTGCTATGGAGTTAGCATTTTTTGAGCCCAATTGCGAATTACTAGGTGTATCTTTCACTCAATTACTTCGAAATTTTAGCTCAACTTTTTAATGTATTGGGTTGTGAAGAAAGTTTCTTCGAAGGCTTCATCCCACGAGGTGGATATAAGTTCTGCAGTCAGTAGTTATCCAAGAAAATTCAAAAAATCTCGACCACTAGCAAATCCGTACTCCGAGTCACTGTCTAGTACAAATGTCTACAAAACCATGGATTCGTGTCAACGACTGACACTATCTGCAATAGCTTCTAATGGCATGCCGTTCAGCGATACAGCGTGTTTCACCTTTACCAGCGCTTTCCGATCTTTTGATATTTTTATAAGAAGCCAGCGTCCCGTATATAGTAGGGATAATTTCACGTATTTCAATTAATGACCCTTGTTAGAAGTTAACAGCCTGCATTTCACGTGCAACACCCGTAATTTCTAAACAGATATTGTTGGTATTCTCAGCTGAAACTGAGAAATTCTTATGATTTCCACTAAGCACTGATCTTTCAAATGTTGTGCTAATTTCAATAATTGAAAGAATCTAACATCTTGAATTCTTTGCAGTCCAATCACTTGCTATAATGCAAAACGCCGCTGTTTTGTAAATGAATCTACGAGCGCTGACTCGTAATTCGCTGCCCACTTGCATCCCCGCAGCACCTTCAACCTTCAAGAGGCGTGGCCTAGCGCCGCCTCCTGCGCGTGAAGACTCGGCGTGAAACGGAAAAGAGCCCTAGCGTTCCATCTGATGTCAGACGATGCTCGTCTCATCGACAGCTTTCGATCGTAATGTACCTTACTATGTGCTGGTCGCATCCACGGCTATACTGCTTTACAGTAACACCTTCACAGCGGATTTTTGTTTTCGATGCATGTGATGGCAGCATTACCAATTTTTGATAAAGATAAATCTCCTTCTCAATGTAGGAAGTAAGTGCTTCTCAGGTTAACCATTGACTTTCCGATTACTGTAAGGTGCTCTTTCGCACGTTGAAGAAGCTCTCTCGGTTGTTTTTTTCCTTCTGATTTTTCCTCTATCTGTTTTTCGTAATTTCGTTTAGTTCTGGTCAGGACGACTGAATGCATTTCTCACTTACTGTATAGTATGATAAAACTATGACCTCTAATTTTATATTATTTCTATTCTATTTGTATTATTTATTTATTTTTTATTCTATTATTCTATTTATATTATTTCTATATCATTGTTTTATTTTATTTCATACAGCTCATAGATTTGTCTCCATAATAGAAAAAAGTGACATGTTACTCGAAAGTCACTGTTCCTAGTTCTCACTTTGAGGCATTTCCGTTGAATAAGCTTGGCGACGCGAGTTAAGCCTGCGACAGGTGCCACCCCGACTGTGCACACGGCTGTGGTCATGCATGGTCATAATTAACGGGAATGAAAGGGATCTAGTAAATTAAGGCGTTTCATGAGCAGGCAGAATCATGTTGTGTCTCGTGGTGATCTTCGATTGAGCGTTGCATGTGAATTAGACAGCCAAGCCGGGTGTCCAAGCGCTGATGGATTTGCAGATGTCGGTGAAGAAGAACACCGGCACACAACAAGTCCACCGAGAACGATTATAGATGCAAGAGCTTGAAAAGCATGAGAGCCGAAGCTTAGGCGACTTTGACTGGCGGGGATACCTTTGAAGATCCTTGTTGGGAGGGGACTTTGCAAAAGACATCTGTTGAAAAGGAACTGCTTTTCTGCTGCGATAGTTCATACCCTTTGTGGGCGAAAGGTCGCACTTGAGCAGAACAGAAGTTAGGGCCATGAGCTTGGTAACATACAGTTATAAGCCAGAGGCGTGGGCCTCATTCAGTCAGCGCCCACTCTTTCTTGGGGAAAGTTCAGCTCTCCTCTATCATAGGTCAGTTCCCAGAGGGCACTGATTGAAAGCCTTAAAGTCAGCTTAGGCGTTATCCTAGGCTTATTTACGAACAAATAGGTGTCCTTCTCTTGAGTTGCTTGAGGAGAAGAGCTGCGCACACACTTTTCTCTTCGGTGTTGCTAAAATTGATTGTGAGTTTAGACATCTAGATTCTATGTACACTCAATCACTGACACACTCGAGTCTACTGCTTCCATTCCGCTTCGACTCTATGCACCCACTAGTGGGATGCTTCTTGATTCAGAGCTAAAGAATTCACCTAAGTCCTGTAGGCTCTTCAGGGGATTGAGTATTGCTTTCCAAGTTTGCTAGAATGGCTGCGAAATCTCACAATCTTTGGTATCTCATGTTTTAAGCTTTCTAATCCAGATATCCACCGAAGTGACCTGACACCTATGTCATTTGAATGGTGGTTACCCTTCAGATAGCTTTTTGTGCTCAGGAACTTTCACAGCCTCGCATACACTCAGATTTTTTGCATTACTTATGTCAAATCACCAACTGTAGCTGCGAAAACTCTACCAGATGTTCCTTTTTGTCAGCGAAATTGTGCTTCAATCGCAAAGGAAAAGGAAAGGGGCTTGTGCACGTGCAAACCGTAAAAAAGTGATGACGGGGAGTCCGAAGCAGCTGTGGCAGAATAGTTTCGAAAACAGGAAACGAAGTGAATAATGAGAGCGATGCAGTGACCTAACTGGTACGGTGAACTGTTTCCGGAGGGCGTAAGGGGAGGGTGGCGAGTGGAAGAAAAAGAGTTGGTCACGTGAAATCAGTGAGCGCTTGTTCATACTGTCACATTTTCGAACACATTTTATGATTCCACTGACCTCCAAAGACACCCGTTGTGACTGCTTTGATAACATCGCACCTCTAACGATCGGCGCGATATCGCAAGGGTCATGACACCTTTGAGCGAACCGGCTCGACCAGTGGAACTAAAGGTTTTGAGCCGATAATCGATAAGAAGGCAATTTATTTGATTCTGGTAAACCTAAACTGGATACTGTTGCATCAATGGGAAACTCGTGGTGCTGTGAGTTGCTGAGATCTTCTACTAATAACATCAAAAGTCCTCAGTACTTCAACTTTTCGATCTCGTATTTTCTACGATCCTTTGCCCTTCATGAAAACTCCGATGTATTTCGGTTTGCAGTGAGTTCGGGCAAGCTCAGTGAAAAGAAGTGGGCTAGCGTTGCAGAGACCAAAAGTCGAGCTACAATATAATATTTATTATTCATTACTTCCCCGTCAATAAGCCCGTCTACCGTGTGATTCTGTTTCTTAATTTTGTTGATATTTTCGACCATGTAAAAATAATAGTTTTAAAAGCACGAATACCACATGAACTCCTACGTAACCAAACAATGATCGAGTCGATTTCGTGTTGATTTTTGGTAATGGAACGAATCCGCAACCTACAGGGGTTACCTTTATACGTGTTTTTTTTGGACCACCAAGGAAGTACACGATTGATAGAGAATTTCACAAAAATTTCCGGATCATAAATATTATTGTTATATTTTGACTTGTTTTGGTTTGTTAAGTGCTGTTTTTGGCCGCAGTTCGCCTTGCGAATGTTTCACACGACTTCTGGGTTGTGAACAAACTTTGTAACTGGTAGCGCACTTGTCCGGAAAACGAGGGGTGCGGGTTCGAATCCCGTCTGGGGCGAAAGTTTTGTTCACAACCCAGCATTCTTGTGAAACATTGTTATTATAATTAGAATTTTGCGTCAATGACAAACACTTAGCCTCATGCGCAACTCAAATCCGCACCTTTCCATCTCGGCGAACCATTTACACGATCAGAGCACTATTTCTTTTCAACTCAGATACCAGTCATTTTTAATATTTATTCTATCGGGATGATTAATATATTTTTTTCGCCATGTGGTCACAGGGGGCCAGCCGGAAACATTGCGTCTTCACGGTAATGCTCAGCTTTGAAGCAAGCCTCAGAGAAGAGAGAGTCCGAGTCTGTGTTGTGTAGGCGAATCTCAATTCCCAAAAGTCGTCCTTTTCCACTAGACGCAGTCCTTGTGGCCTTCCTAGAGACTGCCTCCCCCCCCATTCGGCTCATTGCACCTTCATATTTTTTATTGGTTTATTGAGCACATTACACAAAACGAACAAAGCTTCATTACATGAAAGTAATTCTTTTCTCATTCAGCCAAGCGATCGTTTCAAATCCTGTGGTCACAGGCGATGTGCCGGCCGTTCAGGCATGGACTTTGGATTTTTGGGGACACCGAATGAGTCGAGGATCTCACAAGAGTTATCGTCCACTGACGACACTCAGCTTCTCGATTCAAACGCCTTTCTTATTCGGCGCATGAAGCCATTTTCGTAAGTTCATTTCCGATCGTATACTCATTTAGCCCGTCTCATTCCGATCGCTGTCTTCTTCACTCATCTCCACTACTCTGTAATTATCGCATCGGGTTGATTTCTTCTCGTATATCTTCGCGTCATATGTGCAGAAGACCGCCAACAAGCAATTACGCCTCAGATTCCCTTGGCCTCCGGACCCTTCCCTTAATGGTCCCGCGGTGCACCTCTGAAGGCTGGTCTCTCATCAGGGTGGTGCGTGGTCGTCTGGTCGATCCGATTGCATCGGATTTAAAGACCAATCTAGCCGCTAAATCAAATTACTGCGCTAGTAGCTATGGCGGAATGGCCACTAGCTAGAAGAATATATAGGTGAGTAGTGGAAGGACTGGCTCATGGGGGCTCTCGATAGGCTAGGAAGAATTTCATTAGAATCTGATTCAAAATACACAATAAATCTTGACTCAACCACAATTTTATGAGAGTGCAGGGCAATTTAGCATTTCATGCCAACTGGTACAAGTTCTCCCTGATATTTGGAGTTCTCCGAAACGGAAAACTAGGAAATAGAAATCCAAGGTCATTCAATTTTTTCTTCAAAACTTTCGCAGCAGTTGTTTTGGCCTTATGAACAAGGATCGCCACCTTATTTCGCGTTGAGCATAGACACCGTGAGTAAGTCGTAATGATCAAGCTATGATACAATACCAAGCTTTACAAGAATCCTGGTTATGGGCAAATTTTCGCGCCGGAGGAAATCGAAAGCTAAAAACCGCGCGTTGAAGCCCGAAATTTTCGCTGCATACATAGTTTCAGCATTCTTGTGAAACATTCACAACGCAATCTGAGGCGTTTAGGCAGCAGTTGATAAGCACTGACAAGCAATTATTTATGCCAAATGGGACGACTAGCGAGCTTTGCCTTTAAAAATCGAAGTGGTCGAATTTTGTTCACGGAAGCGATTAGTTCATTCATGGTTGGCACCATGATTCCAAAATATATGAACCTAAAAATATGTAGGCCTGAAAGACCTTAGCATTGTTTGTCTTCAACTTCACTCATTGTCATACTAACAAGTGGGTGGTGTCTGTGGAAATTTTGTACCAAAGTTGTCCCTAAGTTTAGGACCATATTCCTGTTTTGCAACACGCTAGTCACCCATGTTTATTTCCTCGATTCTCCCCATTTGTCATGAAAGTGAACGTTTATCAATGTCGTACACGTCCCCAGAGCCTAGTTAAGGACTCATTGCGCCTAGGCAATATAAATGTTGTTCGCGGGGTCGTAAAAGTTCTGCAATATCGGGAGAGATTTGCTGAGGGTAGAAGGGGCTTCGATATTGGATGGCTTATTCCGCTTTAGTTGGATCGTATGTAGTACAGTGGAAGGATTGGGAATAAGAAGCAATTCAAGCGTAAAATGGGATTTATAAACCCAAAAAATAAAAGGTTATAAATAGGTCAAAGAGGGTGCTAACAAATAATGCGGTTTCTCAAAGAGCCTCACCAAATGCCCAACGCCAAGCACGATGTCAATTCCGATATTTAATGTAATTTCTTTTTTCCTCTCTTTTCATGAACTCTTCCAAACTTCATGAATTCTAAACAGGTGTCTGACCATTTATTTGCCTGCAAAGCTAAATTCCTGCAGTGCCCTTGTGAAGTGGTGTCCCTTGGCACAAGCTGGCCATCTCAACCCTTCAACGGGTCCGCAATGAATCCCTTTTCTATTGCTCTATTAATTCTATTTGGTCCTAAATTTGCTCATGCCAGCCTCTCATCTGCAATTCTTTTCTCTAGCTTGTTTGTAAACCGATCTTTTCAGTTTTCATGCCACCAACGTTCTTCTCCATGCGGCAGCTTCTTGCTTGTTCTTGTTCTTCATTCAACGGCTCCAATTCTTTTCTACGAGTCCAGGTAAGCCTTTCTTTATTTTGAGTCTGACTTGCACAGACATATGATTACCCCAAAACATATCTGGGATGTTGGCTTACTATGTTTCAGAGGAAAACTAGTGTATGCTCACTCAACTAATTTTTTAACCTTACCTCAGATTTATCCTATTTGAAGTTCGATCTCCACTTCGCAGGCTACATATGTAGTCTGAGCATACAGAACTCATACATATTCCTTCACAATACGAATAAGTCGATTTTGTAATTTACCCCAGACTGGAGATAGAGCTGTTGCAACTCCCTTACCGCCTGAGTGTGGCCAATTCTCAGGTCTTGCCCAGCTAGCTCAGGCTGCCATCCCTCGACAGCAGGCTATATAGCGTGATGACTTTCTAGGAAGGGAAATTCACCAAGCTTCATACAGCTGTATATTGTGTTGTTAAAAACCATAAAAATGTCGCAACAATACCGAATGAAAACCGGATACCTGGCCTATCGAAAGCCAATACCTAACAGTCCATAACTCATGACTGTGCTGGTGTTCATGTTTTCTTGAAACAACCTTTACAAGCAAGGAAACTCCTTTTGTAGTTGTAGCTTAGCCTAGAAAGGTAGCACTAATTCAGCTCTCGGCCAGTCAGACACATAGTGAATCAGATTATACGAAGCTGAGTGTTTATTTACGATTGCGTGGCTCACGTAAGTGCCCAAGTGTGAGATGACGCGCTGATTCAGTCATTAGGGTATGCAAAAGTGTTATTAGTTATGGATACTGCTCTACAAGGCCCCTGCAGCTGTTTATACGAATCGTATCGTCAATGCTACATTGACAAACAAGCAGCAGCGCGTTCGGTAAAGTAAATCGAGTCATTTTGAATTCTTAAAATCTATTTTAATAGGGGAGTTATGAAAGAGAAAGTTTCATATGGCCAGCAGTGTTCGAAGGCTCGCCCCTAGAATCAAACTGGTGTGTTCTCACATGAAAATGGAAGCTTTCGAAGGCGTGTTTGCAGAGCCCTAGCGCCTTCGTTCTGTAGGACTGGTAGAAAGTGACATCTGGACCTTCATGAGTGGCTATCGTTATACATTGAGGGGTTTGATGTTGTGTTAAGGCCCGTGATGGGGTAAGGTGGAGGAAACCCCTCACCTACCTTCATCATGGAACTTCAATACAACTTCATTTCCTTCGTGCCACGATGGGATGTTCGAGGATGGGAGGCGTGGTGGTTAAGTAATCACGTCTCTGTCGAGGTTTGTTCAGCTCTCAACCACGTGAGCCGAAAACACACATCATTTCTCCATCGGAAATGGATCACAGTGCACATTCTATTAGAGGCCAACAAATGTCTAATGGTCTGAATCAATTCCTCCACTATCGTTAACGACGTCGTTCTCTAATTGTCGACCTCGTCGGGTCTTAGGTCACTGTTGTTTTGCACGAATTCCCGAGAATGTTAGCTAATTCAGGAACGCTCGTAATTACGGCCCACATCGATATTTTATTCGCAGTTCCAGCAGCACTCTAGATTAACCCGTAAAGGGGTGCTTTCATAGTATTCCAAACCCACCACATCAATAGTTCCTACCTATTACCCACAACTGATCTATTATAACTTTTGGTTAGAGAGCTATCAAATGAATCCAAAACTGATCCCATATGTTTTCTTTGGAGAGTCCTCCAAATCCTCACCTGATGATGAATGACGAATATCCTCAAAAAGATTTTTTTCAGAATCAGCTCTTTTTGCCACACTTCTCTTCACTGTTCATCCGGTTCACTGCGAGGCGGTGGCAGGGGTGGTTGGACGAGCAGACGTTCTGGCAGCCATAGCAGTACTGTCTGGCATTCTTTTATATGAAAAAACTCAGGTTTGTAAGGAACTTTCTAGATTAATCGGAGTCGTTGGAATTGATTAAAAAGTTTCCAGAGCACTCTGGCAGCGGCTCTCTGCACCGCTATCGCCATCTGCTTCAAGGAGACTGGCATCATGCTACCACCATTGCTTGTCGTGTTCCTTCTTCTGAAGCCTACTAAGGTAACCTTCCTTCAGTGTGGTGACCCTTCTCTGCAAGTCTCTCCACTGCTCGTTATCCCTCGTCTCTGGCGCTTTGTTTTATCTACCGCTAGATGTCCTTGTCCTTGTGATGACCAAGGTGTCACCCTAAACGCGTGAGTGGCTTTGACGGAGCGCCGATGGTTTCGAATGGTTACACCAAATTTATGCAGTACGCATGTCACCTAGTTCCCGGGGAATTCCGATGGGATGAGCACGGCATGCCCGTACTGATTGGCAACTCGTAAGGATATTCGTGTGATTTGCACCCGTTTTAAGCCATTCAAGTGGCTTGAGAGGCAGGATTAGTTGACTGCGCTAGATTTGTCTCGCAAACAGTGCTGAATGAGCCGCTGAAGATCGGCGTGCCCAAAAGATTCTTGTGTAGGGCCGAATAGGCGGTGAACGGTGGCTGCGGCCGCCTTAGCGATGACTTCCGAAGAGGTGCGAGAGGCGCTCATTAGAGAGGAAACGCGCACTCAACACTAGTGCGCGTAATTGGAGCGCGAAGGTGGAAGGTCAAGAAATTAGCGATAGTCACCTCGGAGGGACCATGTGAATGGAATAAGAACGGTCTCAGGAGGGGGAAGTCATCGTTTTGTGGGAGTGGACTAGGGAAATTTGAAGAATGGTATAGCTTTATGGAACTGCACACGATTTTGACAGTTTATTGGCTAACGTTTCGGCGAGTTCGCCTTCTTCGGAGCCTAAAAGGATGGAAGTCGAGTTTATGAGTATCCGACCAAAAATCTCCACACACCTACTAGATCTTCGACACCACCTAATCATCACGTAATCACAAGGGAGAAGAAACACCGTACCTTTACCAGATCCACTGGACCAGCCAACGACAAGCACAGTACAGTAAGACTTCGGGTGGACCGTATTCAGGGTTCCGGTTGGAAAGCCAGCCTTATATAAGGGGCTAACTCCCGCGTAATTGACAGGCATTCTTCCTTCCGGTTCATTTAGGATTCCTTACATGGATCCTGAATGCCTAGAGGGAAATTTGAAGGAGTACCGAGACTAGGTGCAAACTCTTATGTTTGAACTCGTGGCGAATTTTCAAAATTACGGATTTTTCAGAGGCTAAGGCAGATTAGTTCTGGCTCTCAAAGCTCCAACTTACAATTCGTTTCTAATTCACAGGGGAAGATACATCAAAATCACCGTGTTTTTGGAGTGCGAGAAGATCTCGTCGCCAGCTCTCCGATGGGTTGCATAAAAAGCCTCATTATTGGCAACAGTTCATCTGTTTTAAAGGCATTGGATCTAACTTTCGGGAGCTTACTTATGGACAGCTGCATATCTTCGTTACTTCTACTCCTCGCAATGAGCCTTTTCCGGGCACCCGCGCCATTTAGGTGTAGTTATAGTAGAGTTGTGCTTTGGTGATGGACGACATCCGGAGCAGCCTTGGGCATGCAGAGAAAAATGTTTGAAGTATGCACAATGCGGCTAATATTGCCATAGAATTCTCTGACGCTCAGAATTTCAACCTATTTTGCTCTTCGCTGAATACAGCTCGTTGTCAGGCGATGGCAGCAGAATGCGATTTGCGCTAGCAGTCTGAGCTCAAATGTGGGAACTGTCCTGAGAACGTCGTCGATTCTGATGAGCTTCAGTTTCTTCAAACGATTTGTGAAGAGGACATCTCATGTGATGGGGACAATGGCTGCCAAATCATAAGGCGCGCCTAGGAATCCGTTGCAGCCCGGTTAGCTCAGTCGGTAGAGCACCAGACTCTTAATCTGGCTGTCGCGGGTTCGAGCCCCGCATCGGGCTTAGCTTTTGCATTCATTACCAAACTAACGCTTGAGAGGGCCCTCTGTCTGAAAGCCATAAGGGAAGATTGCAGTTTGAGGGCGTTGTTAATGAAATGCTTAATGCTATCTTATAGACTGACTTTTAACAATCGAAATGAATTATTCTGTTTATATAAATGTTGAAAACCGGTGAGGCTCTGAAATTTCAAAAGCTTCAAAAGTCGAAACATATCGAATCAGCTCACATGCGTTTGCCCAGTAAAATTCAAACTTACCCAAAGAGAAAAAGAAATTTTTAGAGCCTCGAACTGTCGTTCAACATTTAGATTCCTATGAGGCTTCGGACAGCACCATACCAAGATATTTTGTTTATTAACTGAGGCAATTTACCATGCCTGCTCAACGATCTACATCGTAGGTGTGCCACTTCGGTGTTTTGGCCCAACAGTTTGAAGTTGACCCTCTATGGCGCCAACGCGCATAGAAGAACCCGTTTTCTTTCTCGCTGTTGCGTTATAGAGTTCACTATGTAGGTAGGCTGGTGAGTAGATCTTCAAGCTATCTTATGCAACTTATTTCTGCATGATTAAAAAACGGGCTAATTTGAGCAGGAAAGATTTGGAGTTTTGCTTTGAGTCTCCAATGTGTGTATTTTTTTTCTTCGGCTATCCTGCGGTAACTGCTCTCATACCATGGAAGTCATGATGCATGGCTCCGATCAAAAGTTTATGGGTGTCCTCCAAGTAGTAAGCTAATGGGGGGCAATGATAACCCCCTGTCGAGGAATCTTCGATCGAGGCCCGTGGGCTTCGTGGGAGGAAGGAGAGATTGTGATTTTCGGGGACCATGGAGGAGGATAGGGGCACATAGGAAAGCATTGCAATGCGGAGCTGGAGTGTGCCCGGTGGAGCTAGGTTCAACGCGCGACACTGCCGGCACCTTCGACAAGGGAAGGTCATGTTAATCAAGAGGAATGAGAAAGGGAGGGGTCTTAACCGAAACCTCCATTAGAGGAAGTCGTGGTGCCGCCACCACTTCTTCTACGCGGTGTTCATCCTGCTCCCAGTACATCACCAAGTGTTCCCGACTAGGAAACCAGTGCAATATGCATTCTGCTGAGGCTGATGAAAATCTTGAGGTTTATTAATGAAGTGCCTATCAACATATCCCGAATTCACATTTTCATTTTGATCAATCGTCTCTGGTGACTTTTGTTCTCCCGATAACCCTTTAGAATGGTACTGGAAAGATGGTAGAGATTCGATCAGGCGAAAAACGAGTAAACAAATAAGTCATCATGGTACACTAATGTATACCGTAAGGGCAATTATACAGTATTATGGTCCACTGCTCCACTGAAACTGTCCCCAGATTCATTCAGGCACAATCCAAGATGAGTCCTCCTGGATGAATCATTTTGGTGGGTAAAATAAAGCTATCCATGATAATCGCAGACATCCCCTTTTCCCACTTATGAAATGCGCAACAAAGGCGCTGGAGCTTTGCAGAGGTCACTCTGTGCTTTGGTTATCACAAGAGTAGCAAGCTTTGAGCTCAAGCATTTCGACGGATTCTTTCCTTTCTTCTTCATGCTGGCACACTTAGCACCATTGCTTTCATTTTCGTGTGGAAGAACCACACTAGATCGGTGCTCCGGCTGATCCCTTCTATAAACCCGGCAAACATTTAGGTTCTTCAGCTATTGATATTTCCAGCAACTCAGTCTTATGAAGTCAGATTTTGGCATCAAGAAGGTTCCGTTAAATTACATTGTAATTCTCGAAAAAGCCAGAAAAATCAAAAGCTGCGGAGCTATTAGGGTTGTCTCATAAGTAGTGGCGCATTTTTTCAAACGGAAATTTTTCTTGTGAACCTCTAATGTTTTACAATGTTTCATATACCATTCGATAGGAAATTATCTGCTCTACAAGAAGGTATGTACCCTTTTTTTGATTGTTGCAAATTGTTTGAGTTTTAGGCATGCAAAGTGGGAGCTTCAGACGACGAATTTTCGCCAAACCGACAGCTGACCTAAACTTTATAATTCCCTAGAAGAAATCAATCAATAATGTAACTATAACTTACTCATAACCTCTACTAAACATTCCACATTTAGGTTCCCTAAAAGCTTGTCTCGTTTAATTTTGAGATTTTAGTTATTCCAGTGCAACTCGGTGGTTGCCTGTCAACCCATAGGGCTTCCTTCAGACTGATATTTTCCATTCCAATTCCTCAGTATTGACGCTACTTTATACACCTGTAGGAAGCGTTTCTTCTGCTCTACTTACCCGCATGCAGAATTTGGTTTTGATTTCAATCCTGGTCGATTTTCAGCATAGAAAATGGTGGTATGTCAAGGTCGAACGAACAAAGCAGAACTCGGGGCACTCTTTGCTTTCACGTTCTTCAACAAAGGATCGAGTGCCACAAAAGCCGGCAGGCAACCACCGAGTTGCACTGGAATAACTAAATCTCAAAATTAAACGAGACAAGCTTTTAGGGAACCTAAATGTGGAATGTTTAGTAGAGGTTATGAGTAAGTTATAGTTACATTATTAATTGATTTCTTCTAGGGAATTATAAAGTTTAGGTCAGCTGTCGGTTTGGCGAAAATTTCGTCGTCTGAAGCTCCCACTTTGCATGCCTAAAACTCAAAACAGTTTGCAACAATCAGAAAAAAAGTACATACCTTCTTGTAGAGCAGATAATTTCCTATCGAATGGTTATATGAAACATTGTGAAACATTAGAGGTTCACAGGAAAAATTTCCGTTTGAAAAAAATGCGCCACTACTTATGAGACAACCTAATACATAT